TATACACCACTTAATCCTCATTAGGGTCACGGGGGGCTGGAGTCTATCCCAGCTGACTCAGGCCGAAGGCAGGGGACACCCTGGACAGGTCACCAGTCTATCACAGGGCTACACTTAGAGACAGACAACCAAGCACACTCACATTCACACCTACAGACAATTTAGAATCACCAATTAACCTCAACATGTTTTTGGACTGTGTGGGAGGAAGCCGCGACTCCACGCAGAAAGACCCCGGGTGTCCTCACCGGGACGTGAACCAGTGACCTTCTTGCTGCGAGGCAACAGTGCTAACCACAAAAAAACAACATAATCAGGACTTCCTTCAGAACTTTTGTAACAGATAACATTTGCTTTGAACAAACCACAAAACAAACTAAAGACAGATTTTGATCTGATCAAGCCAATAGATCACCAAATGGGCACCATCCATTTATATCTACGCAAAGTCTCCATTGTACATTAATTTAATTGTATTACACCTCACAGGTATTTGTAGTTTTCTCCCATTGAGGTGAGAAAGTGATTCTATGGGCTTTCTTGCAAAAACATTTCCTTCCACACATCCCATAGCAATTCAATACATCCAAGTTCCACCTTCTTGATAGATTATTCCGTAACAGGCCGCCAACCGTCTATGACGACGTCCTTCCAGAGATGTAAAACTCGGCCTAATAGTATTATATAACATTGTTCTGTCATCTGATAAGCCTCCAAACTATTGGAAACTGAATATTACTCAAACTGCACGGCCTCGTGCCTCTTATTAACTGGCAGGCGGCTGCACGGTCAGACGAGCAGACAGATCTCCAGCCCCGCAGCCGCCGCCGCTGCTCGCTCTATTATCTGGCCTCTATAAAGCCCTCAGCTGTACAACTTCCTCCCTGTGAAAGACACACGTGGCCCTCTTCGATAAGATAAACGGCAGAAAATAAAGACGCGGCAAAGTGAAGCCTCTTTTAGCTTCTCCAGCCAAACAATTCAAACGTCTATTTTAGCAGATAAGGTCGCGCAGACAGACCGCCCCACCCCTGAAACCTCGGAGACACACACTCGTCCCTTTGTGCCCTGATAAAGGAGACCAGTGGATGCATGTAATCAGCATATTATTGATAGTCTTAATGAGAAAGGCTCTGAGTCACTGAAGCCATTAGCCAGGATAAAAGAGCCTTAATTGTTTTGTGTGTGCGCGTCGGGTGCACGCGTGTGTGTGTTTTGCGGCGCGCACGTGTTCGCGGGCTAAGATCAGGCTAATTAAATCCATTTCCTTCGTTAGCAACTTTTTTTCTCTCTTAATTAAGAGGGTTAATTATGGGCCCGGACAGAGGTCGCGTGCATGTTCGGCGCGCACGTGAACATCTCGAGACCGGAGCCGGATGTTTGTGTTGCAACCGTTTAATAATGCAATGAGCGCTTGAAATGAAAACCGCCTTTGATATTTATTTAAATTCAAAGGAGGGGCAGATATTTTAAGGCCGATAGCATCTCTGGTAAATGATAGACTTGTCTGCCTCGGATTTCAAAGGCTCCGAGTAATAACACAGCCTCTTTGATAATGGCCCCCTATGTCTGTCTTTGTTAAATAAAAAAAAAAAAAAGCCCATAAATCCGCTCTCTGGTTGAAAATAACAGCCGTTCTCTTGTCTCGAGGAGGGATCCACATGTTGCGGTTTCTTGTCGAAAGCATCGCCCAACAGGTCTGGCGTTAATACCAACTTCTGTCATCGCCACCAGTGTGTGGTACCAGACGACGGCCGCGGCATACCAATGGAGTGGAACAATATTCCCCAGCACGCTCCATCTACAGCAATAATATCGTTATGGCTGCCAGACATGAGAGGACTCTCCCCTGCCTGACACTGGACACACACCATTACTTTTGATGGTCCGTGTGTGTGTGTGTGTGTGTGCGCCCTCGGGGTCACGCATCCTGTCGGAGGAAAATGGCTGATTCAGGACTCGCTGCCATTTTGCTTGTCAACTTGGGTCCGTGCCGCCATAACCGTTAGACATCTGTGGGCGGGCGACTGTCTGTGATGATGATGATGATGATGATTCTCTGCGGCCATAACAGGACATTAGCACCTTTTACACTCTGTTGACTCCTCTTAAAACTGCCGGGCAAGTTTTTTTTTGTGTGTGTGTGTGTGTCAGAAAACGCGCTCGTCTCCGCAGACTAAAAGTGGTAACGGAGAAAAGTGCCTCTAATATAGATGTGCACCATTTACCAAAAAGAAATAGTGCAGCAAATCTATTCAGTGTGTATTATTATAAGCAGGAGGGGGATTCCTATTCACTGGATGAAGGGATCTGGGGTTTTATCTTTCTAATGCCTCCTTGGCAGTAAATTTAAGATATTTCAGTCAGACTGTTTAAATATTTGCTTGTAACTGGGTGTGAAATGTATACATGTGGGAAATGAGCTTTAAAGCTGCAATGACAACAGTTTGTAATGTAAAAGGTGTTGCTATTAGTTGCAAACTGACAGAATAATTAGCTCAAGGGAGCATTTTAGTATCACCGTTTTGGTTTAACTGCCCAAAATTTCAACTTTAGCTCCAAACACATTCAACGTACGGCATCTGTCAAGCACGAAATAGTTGAAAGATTATCATGCTAACCACTGCAGCTTCCAACAACATTTATACATGAATCGCTATAAAATACAGTCTTACTGGACAGAAACTCACAGGTTCGAGCCTGAAATGGACATTTTTCTGTCTGCAGTATCATTTTCTGAGCACATGGAGAGCTGAGCGTCTTCCACTTGATGTTGGAGATAAAATATTCTCTTCAGGATGTTTGTCAGAGCTGCAGGTTTGAGCCATTTTGCACAGTTTTGGTCATTTTGACAAAGTTTTGAGTTATTTTGGAGACATATTAAATCATTTTGGGCCTTTTTTGAGTCTTTCCGAACACGTTTGATAGTATATATTAAATAGTGGTTGCACCGGAGCATTTAGCAGCTAAAAATAATGTCTTTGTGAAGGTGGTGGAGACCAAAACAGAGCCAGAAGAAAAGGCCATGTAGCTGTTTCTCCACATAGCTGTGAAGTAACTTGAAAAAGAAAATGCAAATTAGGCTTGGTTAAAAAATTTGGCTTGATAAAAACTCAAAGAAGAAGAAAAAACCCCCAAAACTTTGGACATCTACGTAGCAAAAGTGGAAGAAAATCTTCAGGAATTGTTTTCAAGTGGAGAGGTGGACAATCAATCCGGCATCGGAGTTAAATGTTACATCAAAACTTATCTGAATAAAGTGTTTCCATCAGTTATTACGCACATTAAGCTAAAAATCAAGCACCAACTCAAGCAAAAGTAAGAGTTTTTTCAAACACCATACTCCAAAATGCGTTAACACAGTTCAGTAATGTTAATATGGCTTTGTGTCTGCTGAATGTAGAAACAGACATGTGCTTCCAAAAACATTTTGTTGTTTTCACCACATGAAACATCCAAAAATCAGCTGAACTAGGAGAATTATTACAACTATCACTGCTTGAAAACAGCTAATGAAGACGTCTCTCTCCATTTGTTGGAGCAAACTTTTATTTCTCCGAAGTTGTTTAGCGGTTGACAAATAACTAGTTTTGTTTCCAGCTTCCTCTGTTTAATACAGCCACATGGGCTATAGCGCCACCTTCTGACGACGCTATACAACCGAGGTTATTAGCTCCGAAGCAGTTAATGGAAACTAATTCACAGTTCTTCAAATTTTCAGGTGACAATTTAAAAGTTTGCTTCACATTTGCTTAAAATTTATGGAAAAACGCTGCTAATATGTTGGTATCGGCTATTTCTCTGCCTGGCTAAGAATGGCAACAAAAACTGAACCAACTGTACATCCTCCAAGAGTGGACAGCTCTTTGAAAAAAAAAATTCTTCCCCCACATCCTCAATAATTCTTTTCAGGGCGAGGCTTGTGGGTTTGTGTCTGCGCCTCGGTGTGTGCATGCTTGTCGCTGTCATGCGTCCTGCTGGTGCATCATTAGGTATGGCTTTTTATTAGCCTCTGGTGTGCTGGGGATGGGAGGGGGTCAGCATCGCTCCGGCAGTAAACTAGCGCAGCCGTCAGCCCTGCACACGGGAACAAACACCCCATTAAACCAAAGCCTTCACATATTACTGTAATAAAAGCCCCTACTCTTGGCTTTTATGGGCTTTTTAATTATGTCTATTCGTCTTCCTGGGCTTGTGAGCAACAGTTCATGATGAGCCCCATTTCGTGAACACTCCACCACTGGCAGCAAGCTGGAGGGGGTGAATTAAAGGGGGGAAAAGCCAGAAAATGGCCTGAATCTAAAATATGACTATTGTTACTGGGTTATGTTTTAGCTCACAGTGTGGAGCCGGTGGAGCTGCTTTTCATTTTCCTTTCAGGTTTTTTTCCCCTCCTCTTTCTTTGTTCTAGATGTGGATTATTATAAAGATGGAAAAATCTCACGCAGCTTAAGTGAATTGCGTGGCAGCTCAGTCGTAATGGTGTGTATTAAATTATCTCCCAGAGATCAGCGGTAGCGGTTGAAGTTTCCTCGAAAAATTAGCCGCACAAATCACCCGAATTCGGCATCGCTCTTCGGGTCATTTCATATCATCCTTTTTGTGCCTTATGGCCACCCGCAACTTCCCCTAAATTTAAAAAGTTGTAGACACGTCCCTGCAAATCCTGGAAATCCTCCCTGCAAGTAAAAGATTGATAGAGCAATATACAGTACCTCATTGTGTACATGCAGTTTATGGCTGAGTCGTTTTCTGCAAGGCTGGACATGCAGTTTAACCCCTTTTAACCCCAGAAACACTTAACCTGAAGTGGTAGAAGCACCCAAGCATCACACTGTAGATCCCATTAAATGGAGAAACTAAGAAAACCAGCATTTCTAAGGATTAGCTAAACAAAACCTGGATTTGATCAAAGTCAGAGATGCTTAAATTCAGGCTTAAATTCAGGCTACTAGTGAAAAACAAACCTATGGTGCTTATAGCTTTGCTCAGGCTTGGTTGTAAATGTTTTATTGCCTTTAATCAGGTGCAAACAGAGTACTCAGCAGCCTTCTGTCGTCGGCTGCAAATCACAGCCCCCGTGAACCCCAGCAGCACCACGGCCATCGACGCTCCGACGACACAAAGCAGCGCTATCGACGAATCCGAGGCTGAGGAGCACAAGACAAACATTTCTATTAGTTTACAGCAATTAGCAATTAGGAGAGGTAAGTAAAAGCGGATTGGAATGCGTTTTCCGGTTATGCGTCTCACCAGCTTCGGTCACTTCATGTGTCAGCGGTTGTGGAGGAAGCTCCGTCTGCAGAGCGTCCTCCTCCAGCAGGATGGGGCCCAGGGCGGCCGTCGCCTCCCACTGCAGAGCTGCAGGGGAAAAAAAAAAAAAAGACAACAAAATAAAAATCTTCTTAGCGCATTTAGCCAGCTGAGTCAACCATTCCCGACACGACTGATTGGTTGGACAATTAAAGGGATTAACTCCGAATCAATCCTCCACATAAACAGCGCCTGTGCCAAATGGAAGCAAGGAAGCTCATCTAAACATGGGTGGACCCTCTGCTCATCTGTCTGCTAGATTTTCCTCTGGGGGGTCTCCAAATGAACGAAAAGTGACCCCTCAGCTTGTCTCACACCAGCTACAATCAACTTATTTGCATTCACAGAGACGCCAAAAGAACAGAAAATACCCAGCAAATGTTTCTCATGATGGCACTGGACACAATATCAAACTTTCTCCCTCCCCCTTGGATTAGTTTGCTCAGGATCCATCCCAGAGTGTCATGTAGCGACGCTTGTGTAAACCGTACCAGCATCTGCCGCGAGGCTTCTTTTGTGTCTGCGCTCGTCGCAGCTGGTCTCACAGCAGCTACACACCTTGTTGTCTCCACCTGATGCCACCCATCTGTCCAGGGCCCAGAGTGGATTTGGTTAGAGGGGCTGAGCGAAGCTTTTCGTAGCATTAGAGTCGTGGTAATGCACCGTAAACACACACACACAGAAAAATCTTCACTCACCTATCCATTATGGGTATCAGAGTTATGTTTGTGTGCGCTAACCTTCTGGCTTCAGTCAAGTATGAACAGGCTTTGTGCTGAGAGTCGATGGGGAAGGAGACGGTTGTTGCTTTCAGGTGACACGTAATGTAGAGCTGCGTTAAAAGACATTTATATTCAGTGTTAAACTTGGATATTGTCATCAATAAATGGCACATTATTACAACAGCAGCCATCCAAAACAGTCAAAACTCGTTGCAGATCGCGCACACTTCCACCACACTGCAACAACTGATCAGTATGTGTGTATTCAGATCCAAAGTGTTATCACTTAGTAAATAATTGTTGTATTGACTAAGTGTGCAGACAGCCCCACCTTCTCTTACATCCAAAATGTGCTCATGAGTTTCATTCAGATGCATTTCTGCCCAAACTGTTACCAACTATTCTCAGTGTTTTGAGGCGCTGATGGATTTTTAAGTGTTTTGTTGCATTTGAAAGTCGAGTTTTTCTATTTGGGGGAAACTAATCAAAGTTAATGTAATGTTAAAGGAGAGCTCTTGGTTATTTCGACCTCACTGTTATTGCGGCTATTCGGGGAAACAACGTTTAGTGGAGGACGATTAGCGTGAACTCCCTGCAGCTTTCTGAAGTGAGCCGGCTTGT